TTTTTTAACTATTTGTTGCAATGAAACCATAAGCATTTTTGAAATTTTGCAAACGCAGAAAGGCAGCGGCTTGCTTTCCCTAGCGCAGTATACTACAGTTAAACTTTAGAAAAACAAAATGGCCGTTCAAATTTACCGTTATCTAAAGTCCTTTTTTTCCAAATTTTTGATGTCGTTTTTCTTCTAGACCCCAGCCTGTAGAAGTTTGAAATTTTAAGGACTTTTAGACATTAACAATTAGTTCATTTCGTTTGAAGAAAATTTTTTTCCATCTCCATCCCCTCTCAAGTTATTGCCTCTTACAATTTGTAAAATTTAATGAATTTTTGACACCTTATATTTCCGAAACCGCAAGTTTTTTCAAATTTTTATAAACGCAAAAAGCTAACGGTAAATTCCATGACATTAAAAAATATAACTATTTTTCTTAATTCACACAATTAAACCTTAAAATCGAGCATTATGTTAACCCCACTTTATATTAATTTTTGTTTTACTTCAAAGGCTGCATATATGCATCATCCTAAATATATGCAATCCTAAAAATAATTTTGTATATAAATGAAAATAATTTTAATAGTGTGGTAAGTATTCAAAGACTGTATTTAAAAGCAGTATTTTCACTTGTTGAAGGGAAAAGTGCAACAATACAAACCATTGGTTTGACCCAACTTTATTATAATATAATAATAATTGTAACATAATTTTTATAATATAGTATAATTTTAGTTATATAGTTTCTGTTTCACCTGATAATTTTTTAAGCTATCTTTCATTTATTTATGTATGTATGTTAGTTTTTATTTTTAATTTGAAAAAAAAGACCTAGCACAATCGTGTAAATTGGCCTATCGTGCCTAGAATCGTACTAAGGAAATTTTGTATTTTATTGAAGGAAAAACCTGTTATTAACCACGATTTTTAATATCTTTTTCAAAAAAAAACTAAGATTAAAGTGACAAAATATCAACTTTATTTTTAATTAAATTAAAAATTAAATATTATTATATTCATATGTATTATAAATAATAACATAAATTTGAACCTTCTTGGTGCTGGTACAACTAAATTGTATTGATTACACTTCAACATTATGAAAATTATCGGAGGTCAAACACCTAGGAGCGGTATTTGATTCCAAGCTTCTTTGGCAAAGTGACGAGGAAGCTATGTGTACACTGGCAACCCGAGCACTTACGGTTTGCAGGGCCATCTCGGGTAGGTTGTGGGGCTGCTCCCCGTCTGTCATGTTGTGGATGTATACCATGATAGTCGTGCTTCTCCCGACTTATGGAGCAGTGGCATTAGCAAGAAGTTTGGCTCTTGGTACGGCTAGAAAGAACCTGGAACGATTGCAGAGACCCGCATGCGTCTGCGTATTTGGGACAAGAACCAAATTCTGCGAACATATGAGAACTTTTTGGAGTGTGTTTCGGGCTGAGCTGCACGCCATTTAAATGTGCGTGCGGTTCAGCTTGGAAAGGGGGTATCGGGGACAGGAGATAATGATTATGTTGGATAGCAGGGCTGCAATCAGAGCGCTGAACTCGTTTTCAGTATCCTACGCGGTAGTATGGGGCTGTCTTGAGAAGCTCAATGCAACCGAGTCACACTGTGTTGGGTGCTGGGCCATGTGGGCGTGGAAGGAAATGAGGCCGCCGATGCGCTTGGAAGGAAGGGGGCAAGAGGTGTGCCAGGAAGAGGTGTGCTGGACCGAAGCCCTTCTGCGGAAGGAATCAGAAAGAAGGTGGTCGGAGCGCTGGAGAAGTTTCCGGGGCTGCGGCAAGCTAAGCAGCTTCTGGGAGATTATGACCACAAGCGATTTAAGAAAATTATAGGGATGGGCATGAACCAGGTGAGAGTCCTGACCGGCATTTCACTGTAGGCTTAGGGGACACGTCAGTCGGCTGGGCCTGGAAAATGAAGATACTTGCAGATTCTGTGGGGAGTATGGAGAGATCTCTCTGCACCTCCTGGGGGAGTGTGATACTCTTGCTCATATGAGGGGGGAGGTGCTGGTGGGCTTTGCTCTAACGGGGGCAGAGTTACGGTTTTCTGGTCCTCACAAGTTGCTTGAGTTCATCAGGAGGGTGAGTCTCGAGCGTGTATTATAGGGCATGCCCCTAAAATTTGAGTAAAATCAAATATTTTTAATTATCTCAAACCTTTAAACTTAAATATATCTTATAGTACTTTATAATTAATAGAAGTTAGAAAAAAATAGGAAACTTTATAACATTAACTATCTAATGACCTGATGAGCTCGACATCTTTCAGTGAAAGGAATCATTTATTCGCCAATGGAATATGATTCCACAACAATTGCAAGCTCATTACACAGTTTTTTTACCATATTTATCATAGGTTGTATATGCCATAATTTATTTTTTTCGTTTGGCTCATCCTTGTCTACAAAGTATATGATACTTCTTAACTTGAAAAATTTATTTCTCAAGAACCTAGTTGCAATTAATTCGTTTCTAAATCCGTCAGCCTAATACAAACGAACTGTTGGATATCCTAAGCAACTTATAATTATATTACAGCCGTAAAACCTTTTTATGTCTTCTACTGTTGTGTCAAACTCAACACCATAATGTTTTAAAGCGTACATTTTGTAAAAACTGCTGTTTGATAATGTTCTTCTGGGAAGTAGTTTTTAAAATATGTCATTTCCTAGCTTGCAAACTAGTAAAATATATGTACTTCATAGCTCGCAAACATTATCACAAATGTAGTACATATTTGGCTTAAATTTCCGTAATGTGTTTTTCTCCATAAATTACTTTATTTCAGATAGGAAGGTTAGGAAGGGGGCCATTGGTCAACCGATATTTGTGAAAAGAAATATCAAATCCACTGTCATTAAAAACATTTATGGTGAGCGCATTTAAAACCAAATCAGAGTTCGAGCGTTAAAGTAACAACTAGTTCATGCCGTTTCCGCTGCTCCAGCTATTATTACTTTGTCACTTGTTATTTCTTGAATTTCTTCAACTACGATATTTTTCATTTTCGTCATTTTCATCATCATCCGAATTTTATAAAAATTCCAATATTTTCTGAATATCGTGATAATTGTTCAAGTCGTAATTTTTTTTTGAATTTATAAGAAAATTGCTATAAATATGTACATATGTATGCTCGAAACAATTGAAATAATTAAGGTAACACAAACGTCAGTCCGATTGCACAACACAAAGAAGCCCAGCTTACACAATCGTGTTATCTAATTTTTAGTTTAATTTTTTTCATAAAAACGCTCAACATTCTTGTAAAATTATATGTATATCAACACGAAAGAGCAAGATTTAACATGTAAGAATATGTTATAAAAAAAGTTAAGAATACGTTATAAATGTTTTTTCTTGTTTCTTTTTTAATCACAAAACGATAGATTACACAACCATTGATTTTGGGTTTCTTTTTTATGAAAAATTTTTATGAAAAATTTTATAAATACGCATTTAAAAAACTTAGAATTCACCTAACACAATCGTTCAACTTTGGTCTGAAAGGGTTATTCAAAAATACATAATATAAGAATATATTTCTTAATAAAAAGTATGATGATCATTTTCGAATACACTGTATGTACATATATATGTATGTAATAGTAAATTGTGTATTACGGAGTCTTGAGAATAAAGATGACTGTGAGACATCATTTTTTTAACAAAAATCAAACATTTGTTTTTTAAAGTGAATTTAATTATATAAGTAGTCATAAGATAAGACTGATGGTATATAAGTAGTCATATAAGTTATATAAGTAGTCATAAGATAAGAAGATGAAGTAACTTAACCCAATAGATGAATCGCCACTTCTAAAAATTAAACTCAGAAAAATTTTTCATGAAAATTAGTGTTTTTGAAGATGAAGTTCTAATACAGGAATGTACAGATCAATAGTTTACTGCAAATAGTTATATTGCATATCCCTATCATGCAGTTCATTTCCATCGAAAAGTTACAATAAGTTTCTTATTATTTACGTACTGTCAGTAAAAATTATAGTATTTTGGAATTTTCAAAATAGCATAACCCTAAAATGGTGCTTGTACCCTACATTTTAGTTAAGGCATACTAATTTTGGTATGAAGCTTGTAACCACCTTAAGAAGTTGTCTGCGGTATGAACATGTATGTGCATATATTCTTGCTAAGCGTAAAATTCTGTGTTGATTTGAAAATATCCGTCTCAAAAGTCAAACTTTCAGAAATTATTTTAAATGGGTCAAATAACTAATTATTTTAAATGGGTCAATTGGGTTAATTTCCAGCATATATCTCAGGAACTGGGTCTTTTCGTAAGATCAATTACATATTTTTTACTCTACATATAAAATATAATCAACATGCTCTCATAAAGTTGTATATTTCAGCTCTTCTTTTTTGATAATGATGACTTGAATTTTAAAGATTGCATCAATCTTTAAAATGATAATGTTTTGCTTATCATGTTCACTCATAATTCTTACTAAGCTACTGCAAGTAAATGTATCAGCATATTATGTAAATGTCATTTTAAAAAATGTGCATGCGGATATATTAATACAATGTCATATGCGGAAATATTAATACAAATATTTACCTTTGAAACCGTATTTATCCATATATTGTAACATTTTATTTTGCAATACTCGTAAAATATTTTCAAATGTATTTCAAAACAATATTCTAAATAGACGAATGAGGAAAACTATTATTTTCTAAATGAATGACAGTTCATAAATAAATTTTTTTCCAAATTATATTAAATCTCTGTTAGCGAATTAATTCCAATAAAAAAAAAATAATTTTAAGCACTTATTGTTAGGACTAATTTTAATAATATTTTGAATTGGACAAATTGTTATTGCGCAAACAAAATAAAATTTTTTTATAAATTATTAAATTTAATCAAATGAATAAAGTAGGTTCATAAGTAACTTTTAAAATTTTTATACTATGAGTATAAAAAGCGGAATTAGTTCTTAAATTATTCTAGAGTTTTATATAAATTTATTGAAACAAGTTAAAAATTGAAGCGGACTTTCAAAAGCACAACGAAGTCAGAATAAAAATATGAATTTCAGTGGAACAATCCTTGTAATCATGGCTATTTTAAAATACTATTGCATAACTGTACGTGGGAGATAGTAATAGTTTAGAGATTATTTTTAGTCAATAATAACAGCTCGCACAACCAGAATCGCGAAATACTTAACCACATAAAATTCTTAATACTATTTAGGCGATTGATTAAAATATTATTTAATAATAAAATTTCACTTAATGGAAATTTTTCATGCAACTGCAGAACAGATGGATGACGTAATCAAAGGAACGAGTTAAAGGCAGAAAAATTAATTAAAAAATTTTTCTCCTCGAACTGGACTCGAACCGGTGACCTACCGCTTTCTAGGCGGACGCTCTAATAAATAAAATTTCAAATATTTAAAGTTTTTTCAATTAAAATTGTAATTTAGTTGTAATTTTAGAATTTTATCCATTATTTTAAATATTTGTAATTTTTCATTTTAAAAGGCGAATGAGGAACTGGCACTTCGCGTCAATAAATCTTATGATGATTGCTTTAAAGAACTGAATATAAATAATAAGGATAAAAAAGATTTTTTGGATGGAAATTTCGATAAGATGTCAGAATCTGGTAAATGTTTTGTTGACTGTTTTGCCAAAAGAATGGATATTATAACGAATACCGGTATCAATTTTACAAAACTTGTTGAATTTTATGAGTATTTATGGAGACTCAAACCAGAAGATTTGAATAAATTAGACTCTATTGTAAATAATTGCATACCAACGTCTTACAATGGAAAAACAGATTGTGAAAAAGCATTAAATGCATATGTTTGCTTACGCAAAGGTGCGATAGAAAATTTAAAACATTAATTTTTTTTTCATTTAAGCATTTATAATAAATATATATGATTTTGTGGATGCAAATAAAATAAAAAAAAATTTATTTTTGCGTTTTGTATTTTTATACTAAGTAAAGGCTTCATATTTTACTGGGCTTAAAATCATTTTAATTTTATAGCGTCCTGACAATTATATCAATAATTTATTATTATTCATCAATTAAATAGTGTAGTTTTAACATAACTATATTATAACTATATGCTAACCTATCAATAGATTTACTTCTACCTTGGACAGTCGTTAAGAATTAAAAATTTTTCCACCGGTGTTTGTCGAATTATGCTTCAACAATCGATGTTTTAAACGCCTTTCAAACCAATTTGTGATACAAATCATATAAAACAACCATTTATAAAGAAGTTTTTGTTTTATAAAACATGGACTTTGGTTAAATTAATTGTTTTTGAAAAAATGTTCTTCATTTGAAAACCAGTGATTGAAATGTACCTATTTATACCGAAAACGGTGCGTTATATCTAGTGTTAACAATTTGGGTGTTGAAATTATAATTTTCAGACTAAAATATATATAAATATTTGAGGAACATTTTCTGTTTTAAATGCCGTGGCTGTTTAAACCTCAGATAGGATAATAGATAAATTCAACATAAACAGTAAACATAATATGTTTTTTGAATATTCGATTTAAATAAAACAAATTTTTACAGAAATTCAACTGTGCCATATTTTTAATGTTATTATAAGCGGGATGAACAATCTTATACGAACATACAATTGGACGAACATACAATTATACGAACTTAACAAAAAACATCTGATATGATCAGCACATAACCGTATCTTTAGTAACATTCTCACTAGTTTAGTGAAAGTATTACTGAAGATTATCAAAATGCGTTTTAAACACATTCCTCGTAAAATGTAAATTTGACACCAGTTAGTTTTGGTAACACCTAGAACTCAAACCTATGTATAGTAAAAAATATAAAGTGTTTCGGCTTCCGAATACTATGATCTTTCCAAAAAATGTATAGGTTGATTGTCTTAACAACCCCGTATTTAAATATCAAATTTCAAGAAAATTGGAAAATTGAAAATAGAAAATTATTTCTCTTTATATGCGATAAAATGTAAATACGGTCAAACGAAACTCTATATACATACGCCCACACAAAGGCAGCCAGACCGATATATCTCTAAAAATAGTTTGTTTACCCCTCACTAAGAAGATGTGCCTTATATTCCTTCCTTATTGTATGCAATGCGGTTTAAAAAGAATGAATTAGTTATTTTTATTCTAAAGTAAAATCAGTTATTTCATTTATTAACCAAAAAAATTCGTGATACTAATTCAAAAACTATCACAAATTTAATTATTTCGCTATCCACAACTACGTGCTGACTTTATTTTGCAATCTTATATCGATAGCTGCTTTAAATCGAACGATCATAAAGATTTTTTTTCCTCTCGTTTGTAGCAATCAAAATTTTCCTGTTTCTAGATCTGTCACTTCTTAATAAAAGATCTGCATATAAAAATTCTTAGATCTTAATTCAGTTTTGTATCTTTCAATAAGACTACCAATTTTATTTATTCTGCTAATATACATAATATTAAGTAAATAAATATTCTTAATTCGGTGACACAATTAGACAGAAATTTATTTAGAAACAGTATAGAATTTCTATACTGTTTTCTGTATAGAATTTCTATTTTTATATTATTGTTTTGCTGTTTGTGCAAAATTTTTTTCCGTAAACGTGAAACCAAATTTATAACTGTTTTGTCCTGTCAGATTCCAATAGAAAAACTTCATCAATCTAAGGACATTGTTAGATGAAAATTCCTTAATTTATCTTTTTTAGCACTTTTCCAAAAATTTTTTGAAAAAAAGTGCTTATTAGTTTCACTCTGACTTCGAATTTTTTCCAACAAGTATTTTAAAGTTTGTGTTAAACAAAAGTTCGTCTTACATATAATCGTTAACAATCGTTTTGATAATTTAAATGAATGAAAAAAAGTGACTTTTTTTTATGACTTTAGACACATTTTTTGAAATACACGTTTGTTTTTAATGAACACGTTTTTTGAAACTAAAATAAATTTTCTTAAATATATTAATTTTTTAAATTATTTAGAGCAGTGCAATGATTTATTGTTAATATTTAAGAAATTTACTATCAAAAGATAACTGAGAGCATTAACTCTTTATTTGAGTTTGTTTTCGCAGAAGCAAAATTATATACATATGACTATTCATGTAGTGATCCAAGATGTAAAGATCTTCCAGAAACTTAATAAACCGCCCCAATTAATGTATTGTAAAATATCTACAGTTAGTGTACTAAAATTGAGGTGAAAATATTCGAATATTAAACCTAGAATGTCTAGGAATAACACAACATAGTTAAATCTGAATATTATTTCAAAATGTCAAATTTCAAATGATCCAGTGTACGAGTACGTATTATTATTATGCTTGAACTCATACTATCAATTAATTTTGAATTACACAAATGTGTTCATTAAAAAAATATATAATATATCGCTAATTTTGCTATAATAAACGAGTAATAACTAAATTTATTAGCAATTATATTATCATTAAAAGATCGCGCAAAAAGTTAAATATATTAAATTATAAAAATACGTTAAATTACAATTAATTAAGATAACATAAGGCAAGTGAAATATAAATCTTATAAAAGATCATAAAAGGTTTAAATATTTGCATATATAATTTGAATATCATTTAGAATTAGCTGAAACCAAAATTGAACCAAAATAATAATGTTCAAAGGCAGAGTATTAATAGTTCTAATTCCAGTGATATTAGCAATTTGTCATCAATCAGAGGTAATATTACAAAATACATGTTAAAATTATTTGTAATTTGACTCTTATTTATTTAAATAAATTTTTCTTAAGGCTCAAAGTACCATTGAAAAAGCAAATATTGAGTGCTTGAAAAAGTTTCCATTGACTCCGAATGAAAATGCTGATATTGATAAAGAAAAATTTGAGCAAATATCAAAAAATGGTAAATGTTTTATTGATTGTGTTGCGAAAGAAATGAAATTCGTGGAGAATGGTGCAGTCAATCAACCTAATATTATTAATTTTTATAAAGCAATACAACCAAAAACCTCGCCAGACTTAATCACCTCAAGTGTAACCAATTGTGCAACTACTTCTTTTACTGGCAGTAATGACTGTGACAAGTCATTTAATGTTTATAAGTGTATTGCTTTGGCTTTATAATGTGTGTATGGTTATAGAAAACAAATTTCATTTGAAAGAAAATTGTATTTTGTTAAACTACCAACGACAAACCCTATACTATTTATGGGTTCACTGATATAAAAAATTTATTAATTTGTTAAGAATTTTAGAATAAATTAAAATTAATATGAAATCTTTTTAACTGTGCTTGTTGATTGTTAAATTTCATTAAATCAATATTTAAAATAGAAAGTGGAATGTGTTTTAGTTTTCATTTATAGTATTTGAAATTAATGAAGAGAAATTTTATTTAATAAATTGGATTTCCTATACAAAGTGCAAAGTAAAACTTAGATGAGACAGGGAATTTTTAGGGGGTAGTGCAGTATATAAGTAAACTGGACCCCTGCTGTAATATATAAATATTATGTAAGTATACTAAAAAAATGTAACTACAAATTTAGTCACTCAAATTTTAATTGTCAGATTATAATTTAGCAAATATAAAAGTTAAATGCACTAAAATTTTTGCACTAAAATTTTAATGTTTTAGAGAACAACAGTTTTTTTCTTATTCAATAACTTAATTACTCACAAATTAAAATATTTATTTATTATTAAACATGATTTGAAGATGTAGTTAATGGTGGCTTATTTAATGATATTAAGAGTAAATGATAATTACCGTTGCACAAATAAATTTAATTTTTGTTATAGATCATTAAAACTAAATGCTTAAACAAATAAATACATCCAGCATATTATTGTCTGTAACTTTTGCTAGCTTAAATATAAAAGTTCTTGAAATTTTTGAAATGCACTAAAAGTCATTTTGAATTTTATAAAATAAATTGATGAAAAGTTAAAACGGATTTTTTCAGAATGAATTTTTTTCTAACAATCCTTGTCGCTATTATGATATTGGAAGGCAATTATATTACTGTAAGTAAAAGATCTTAATATTTTTATAGTGGTCAACATAAAATTTTAGCGACTAATGATCTTCGATATAAAACAGTACAATAGAACAGAATAATAGGTTGAAAATTGAATTAATTCAGAAATTCAATTGAGAACTATAGTGTTATAGTTTCCAGTTGAACTATGTGCATACTGTAAAAAAACTTCAATATAGATTAAACATTCTATTACGAATTTAAATTTTTTAAACTTTTATTAAAAAAAGAAAAACTGCAAGACTAATCAATATTAAAAGTATATTTTTTTTTAAACAGGCTAAAGAAAAGGAAACTTTGGATAACAGTAACTTTGTCAAATTTTCTGAATTTGGAAAATGTATGGTAGACTGTGGAGCAGGAATTAACCCGAAAATGAATAAGAAACCTAATGTTACAATTGTTGAATTTTACGAATATTTATGGCAGACCAAACTTGATTATTTGAATGAATTTAACTCTACAATAAAAAGTTGTGAAATGTATAATGGGCCATCATCAACATCAAATACTAACCCCATAGATTGTGAAAAAGTAATAAATGCTTATGCTAGCCTATATGTATGTGCAATAAAACATCTATTGAATACAAGTTTTCTACTGTAAATATTACAATAAATTTGCATAACTGAGAATAAGAATTTTTTATTCTCATAAATGAGAATAAGAATTTTTTTATTTGGCTCTTATGGTGTAGCTTATATGTGTAGTAAATGCTTAACTGCAGCTATTGGTCTTACTAATAATGTAATTAATTATGTAATACAAAAATATAATTTTATGTTTACCCTATTAAATTGATGCATTGCATGTATTTAGTATGAAAATAGTTTATTGCCTTGATTAATAAATTATAGCACTGTTTGGACAACTCACATACTTTTTCAATGCTTGCAGTTGAACATTGAATATATTTGATTTAAAGAATTTTAACTCAAATTGTAAGTGCTAATCTGAATAAGCAAATTTAAATCATGAAATTTATAGAGGTGTTGAAAAAAACTATGAAAGCCCTTGAATCTACAGTTTCACACATAAATTTCTAATTATGCATATTGTGCAGGTAAGATTTAAGTTTGAACAGAAGCATAATTAATTGTTTCTCAAACGTACGTTAAATTCAAAGTTTTCAGACAATATATAGAGATAAAACAATTTTTGAACCTAACCAATTTTTATAATTCATTCCAATTCATAACCCACTTGCAGTCATAAGATAAAATAAGGATCAGCTGATGAATAAAAGAAAAATTTTGCCTCGCTTGCTTGATAATCATTTTATTTTCCTGTTCTTTTTACTTTATTTTTATTATTCCGATTTAAGCTTATTATTTCAATTAATTACATTAATTTTAATCTACAATATGAAAAAAACAAAATAAATTACACCTTTCGTCGACCATTGTATTTTTGAATTTTTTTCGATAATTGCTGTGTAATTTTCATAATTTTTAAAGATAATTTATTACTTTTTTGTTTCAAAGCGATTAAATTTTTTTTTTGCAACTTCTATTAATCACTTCAAAGAACCTTGCTAAAATTATATAGATATATATATCTAGATTTGAGAGACGCAAAAAATTTAGCTTCAATAGTCACATTTAAATACAAAATATCTAGAGTTCAATTATTAATCTTTCGTCTCATAATATGTAAATTTCCGTTTTCATTTATTGTTTTCATTGTATCTAGTAATATTTGCGAGATTTACAATATACTTAATATTTTTGCGATGTAGTTAAGTTCACACCTATATACGTAGTATTTTAAAATTTTTGTGTCAACCTGAAACAATATTGCCTTTCGCAACTCTCAATATATTAAAAATGATTGTAAATTCTTTAGAATTAACAGGGTACCATTGCATCAACCACTTATCACTTACTACTTTTCAGCTTATCAAAAAATTTGCAAAATTTTCGTTGCAGCAAAAGTGAAAATGATAAGTACTCAATAAGCTCATCAAAACTAAAACGAAATCCCTTATCAGATTATCATTGCATCAAAAAAAAACTAGTACAAGTAATTTTTTACTTAGTGATAAGCGATAAGTTTATCAAATTAGCCAAAAATAAGCATTTTTGGTTGCACCAAAAATTTTTACTTATCACTTTGCATTAAATTATTTGATAAATTATCGGCTTTTTTGATTAGAGCAATTCCGCTTTTCATATTTTGCTAAGTAAAAAATTTTCCTTGAATTTAAAGTAATATAAAGAAAAGTGTATTACATTTAATTAAGCATAAAAGTGTATTTATATATAGTATGCTATTGGAAATGTGATTTCAATTAATCATTATTCATAAAATCCGGCTAAAATCAATGTGCACCACATTGCCCATAACATATTATATGTATATATGTCACACCTATACATGTACATACATGGTATAATGTACATTTTATAATTATGAGGTTCAAAGAAAAGTTAAGCCAAGAATCATTCTTGATAGAGTAATTAAGGCAATTACTACTTTGAAAATAAAACTTTTATTGAATTTCGAATAAAGTTCAGCGCTAAAAATATATAATTAAATTAAAAAAATGAATAGAAGTTGTACAATCATCTGAACGTAGATCAAGAGCCAGAATACGTCCAAGAATAAATTATGAACTCGTTTGCAATACATTAGAAAACCTTCATTGATCATGTGTTAAAATTGAGAGAAAGGAATCATTGTTTAAGCCCAGTCTCTCTTCGACTGCCTTAGTGTTCGGATGTACGTTACTAGAAAATAATTTATATACGAGTGCATTTAGCGATTAAAACACGTGCTTAATTTAAAAAACAGTTAATTCAAAAATTTTATTAATTTATACGGTCATACCTTATATATAAAATTACTTAAATTATACATAAAAAAATGTCGAAAAACAATAAAAAAAGGAAAAAATCTAAAAAAAGAAATATATTGTCAGAAAATGACAATAAAAGTGTAAATAGTTCTATTTCCAGTGATATTTTGAACAACCATACAATAGATGACAAGATTAAAAAACATAAACCACAAATTTCAGAAATGCCTACTCCAATAGTAATCGATACTGAAAATTCAAACATATTAATTAAATCGTTAAAACAAGAAAATAAATTTAAAGAAAACATAAAATTTAAAATTCTTAAAAATAATCAATTAAAAGTTATTTTATCGAACAATGATGATAAAATCACATTGTTAAATTATCTAAAACAAAAAAATGCAAATAAACCGTTAATTCCGTTCTTTACTCACCCCAAAAGAGAAGAGAAACCAATTATATATATACTTAGGCATTATTACTATGATGATATCAATACTCTCACAAATGATTTAAAAGCTATTATACCGTCTGTTATTAAAGTCTCTTTTCTTAAAGACAACAAAACAAATCCATTATATATGGTGAGTTTCTCTTCTTCAACATTGACTTTTCATGAACTAAATACACAATATAGATCCGTTAACGACGTTTATATAAAATGGGAAAAATTTAAAAATTTAAAGAAGAAAGTAACGCAATGTTTTAATTGCCAAGACTTCGGTCATGGCGCAAAACATTGTTTTCGTAGTTTTAAATGTTTTAAATGCAAAGAACCTCATGGAAAAAACGACTGCCCTAAAGCAAAAATTCTGGATTTAGAAAACACAAATGAAAATTTAGAATCCACAGTTAAACCAACATGTGTTAATTGCAATGGTGACCATGCAGCTTATTCAAAGAAATGCGAGAAATATATACAATATGTATCTAAAAGAAAATTAAGAAAACAGTTTCAACAAAATATGATTATAAACAATACATCTCAACATTTGTACTCTCAACAATTAGTTTCACCACCCAAATATACAACAACAAATTTTCCTACCTTGGGAGAGAGCTCTCAACATTCAGCAACAAAAACTCAAGCTACATCTTATAGTTCAGTATGTAGTAAAGCAATATCAGCCACTAGTTTAAGTTTAAATGATCTATGCTCTCTTTCTTCTGAATTTAAAAGTATTCCAGACATTGATTTAACTATAAAACTGTAAAAAGAAATGGTGAGTAAATTAAAGGCTTCTACATGTCAAAAAACAAGATTAGCAATTTTAATTGATTATACTATACCGTAATGAATAACATTTACAATAATATAAACAGCATAAATATTCTTACATGGAATTGTCAGTCCATTACAAATAAAAAAAATGAATTAAATAATTTTGTTTTAAAACATAAAATTGATGTTGTTCTGTTGCAAGAAACTTTTTTAAAAGAAAATAAAAAAATTTTCTTTCCTATTTATGAAATTTATCGATCTGATCGGCATGGTGTTCACGGTGGTGGTGTAGCTATTCTGGTTCATAGATCTATTTCACATAGCCCAATTAAATCCATGGGAACATCATTTATAGAGAATGTTTTCATAAAACTACATTTAAAGAACTATGACCTAATTGTTGGATCACTTTATGCGGCCCCAAATATTAAGTGTAATTCATTTGAAAAGGATATAAAGAAGTTATTGTCATTAAAAGCGCGATTTTTGTTAGGCGGTGACCTTAATGCGATGCATATTCAGTGGAACAACATAAAGTGTAATTTAAAAGGTAAAAAGCTGTTGAATTTATGTGATAAAAATATCTGTGAAATTCATAGTACTGATAATCCGACCCATTATTCGTCTCGGGGTGCACCTTCTACAATTGATTTGGGAATAACAAAAAATTTTTCTCAAAATATTTTGCGCACTAGGGTCATTAATGATCTTTCATCTGATCACTTACCGTTGATCTTCAAAATTAATGTTCAACTTGTTAGGAAAAATAGTAAAGTATTCGACTTTTCAAGAGCCGACTGGCGCTCTTTCTCAAGGGATATTAATGATAGTATAAATTTAAAATCTAACAATTATGTAAGCTGTGACATCGATTCTGAAATTATGCAATTATGAAAATCGATTCTGAAATAGAAACTTTAACTAATTCTATAAAATTTTCGATGCAAAAAAATATACCACTCAGGGACGCATATGTTTTCAAGTATCCTTTTTCTTCTAAGGTTAAAGAACTTTGTTCTCAACGTAATATATTCAGGCAGAGGTATCAAAGAAATCGGGATTTATTTTTAAAGAATTGTGTTAATTTTCTCAATAGGCAAATAAAAGCAGAAATAAGACAAATAAATAACATAAATTGGTCAGAAAAACTTTCACAATTAGAATCAAATAATTATTCGTTATATAAATTTGCAAAAGGTTTTCGCAAGCCTTACAATAAGATTCCTCCGCTTAATAATAATAATGAAATTATTTTTAAAGCTAAACAAAAAGCCAATATAATAGCTCAACATTTTCTTACGTCACATAATTTAACAAATAACGCTTTATCTAAGTCGAATGCAGAAAGACTGGTTAATAAGGTAGTAAACAAGATAAACTCAGTGCAGCAAACCTCGTTTAGGGATTTCACTTTCAAGCAAGTTATGTTATATGTTAGATCTTTAAAATCTAGAAAAGCACATGGTATTGATGAACTTCCTAATAGAGCTGTTAAAATGTTGCCAAAAAAAGCTATAATAAAATTGACTAGCATATATAATTCCTGTATGCGTTTATCCTACTTTCCTAAAGCTTGGAAAATAGGTAAGGTAATCGCTTTACCAAAACCCAATAAAGATAACAAACTCCCTAGCAGTTATAGACCGATATCCCTTCTATGTACTTTTTCCAAATTATTTGAAAAATTAATTTTAGATAGGATCTCCAAATTTGCTGATGAGACAAACATAATTATCAAACAACAATTTGGTTTTAGAGCTCATCATTCGACTTGTCATCAAATTTTAAGATTATGTGAGAAAATTTCTTTCAATTACAATCAAGATAAAAGTACTGCAATAGTCCTTTTGAATATAGAAAAGGCATTTGATAGTGTTTGGCATAATGGATTGCTTTATAAATTAAATAAGATAAAATTGCCCTTAGATCTGCTTAAAATTATAGCCTCATTCCTATCAAATCGTTCCTTTTATGTCATAATAGATAATGAGAGGTCAATAGAGCTTCCAATACCTGCTGGAGTCCCTCAGGGCTCAACACTTTCCCCTCACTTATTTAATTTTTTTATAAACGACATTACTGTTTCTTCTAGGTGTCAGTTTGCAATATACGCTGATGACACGGCTCTTATTACGTCCGTGCATAATCATTCAACGGAAAAACTTAAAAGTATTCTTGAAAAAGAACTTATAAACTTGAAAAGGTTTTTTCAAAAATGGAAAATTAAAACAAATAATTCTAAAACTGTCGCTGGGCTTTTTACACATTCTCCTATAGCAAGGCAACTTTGTGATAATAACAGGTTAGTTATCGACAATATTACTCTTCCTTGGCAGGAAAAAATTAAATATTTAGGAGTGTACCTAGATTCAAAGTAATAAGATTACAATATACAAAAAGCCAACACTGCTTTGAGAATGTTATATCCTCTAATGGTAAAGCATAATAGTGTAAGCTCCGAGAACAAATTAAAAACATATAAAAGTTATGTTCGTCCTTTATTGACATATGCGTGTCCAGCGTGGTCAAATTGTGCTGAAATGCACAAAAAAAAGATACAAGTAATACAAAACAAATGTTTGCGGATGGCATTAAATTTGCCATATATTTCTAAAATTGAAGTTTTGCACCACATAGCTGCTTTACCAACCATTGATCAATTTATTTCTAAATTAACGATGTCCTTTTATAATAATTTAAGAAATTCTTCCAACAGAATAATATTAGGTTTAGGCAAAAATATATATAATAATAACTCATTTCGTATTAAACATAAGTTGCCAAAACCGGATAACATAATTTGTGAATGATGTACTTAGTATTTCTAATTAAAAAAAATTTACAAATAGAAGCTTAAATTTAATAATAATTTAGATTATAAGTTAGTTGTAAGATTTAGTATGTAAGTTTAGTATATAAGTTTACAATACATGTCATATATTAGGTTTTTTTAAAATTTTCCTATACCAACATGTTAAATTTAAGAATTAAAAAATTGTTAATCCAAAATTTTGTAACAAAACTATATAATTTATTAGATAAAAGCTGACATGGCTAAAACTAAGCAAAAATTAATAATGTAAAAGTTTCTATAATGTAGATCAAAACAAGTGAAAATAAAGTTTTATTTAAGATTGTTTAAGCCCGCAGCAGCAGTTGCTAACCACTCTGCATTTTGACAACCTCCTCCCACACTTTTTGTTTTTTCATTTTCGCGCTGGCGTTGTTTTAGAATGATCCAAATAATATGTCCTAAAAATATTTTGTACTATTGTATATTCTTTACAAATAAATATAAGATTGATTTTTGGCAAGTTCTTACTTTATTTTTTTTAATAATTTCCAAAACGGCAAGTTTTTTCTCTATTGAATTTGTTCGTTTCATTTTTTTTTTGGTTTTTAACACAAAATTAATATTGAATTTTGATATTTTTAATAGAACTAAATCAATGAGAAATAAAACTATAATGATAAATTCTTATCAAATTGTAAAAACTACGTCACGTTCGATAAGTTTTCAATTTTCTTGGTCCAACACTTATCATTTTTACTTATCAAAAAATGATAAGTTGCAAAGTTGATTAGTGAGTGAAATTTGTAAAACTTTGGTGCAACACTTACAAACTTAGCTTATCAAAAAAAACTTATTTTGTAAGTTAATAAGTGATAAGTGGTTGGTGCAATAAGGCCCAGGTTGCAGAAAATGGAAAAACGTTGAACTCGATTATTTCAAATAATAGATTGCTACCACTTTGATTATAAAGACAAAATGAAAATTGGCAGGATTGATTGTTTCAACTCTGTGGTACCCGTACAGAATCAATTATTTGAACTTTTGTATGATAACTTTTTTTTAGATAAAAATATTTTAAAAAATTCGTACTAGCATAAGGAAGACAATTGTGATGTAGATTGGATGTAGATTTTTAAAATATCAAAAAATGATATTTTAAAAATCTACATCCTTTAAAATTTATAGTTCCTCAGAGTGCAAAAAATGCCATGTTCCAGCTGTTCAATAAAAAAATTACAAACATTTTTTCCACCTCCATCCACTTTCAAGCTATCGCCTCTCGAAATAAATATTTTTGGCTTCTCATATTTCCGAAACTACAAGCTTTTCCAAATTTTTATAACAGCAAAATGCTACCGGTAAACGCCATGCCATTAAACAATATAATCCTCAATCTAAACTTATGCAATTAAACCTTGAATTTTACCGGAAGTGCTTACTTCTTTCAATATGTATTTTTTTTCTTTTATACTAAATATATGCAACGATTTCAAATATTTTGGTATAGAAATAAAAGTAATTTAAATAGATAGTAGATTGTTTCTAGTACTTTCGCAAAAGAAATTTGTAAAAAAAATGCTTATTAATTTCACTCCGCCCGTCTGTGGACATGCTTACAAAATTTTTAAACCTTTGAAAATATAGAGGTTAAATTTCCCATGTACTTTACTAAAAAAATATTTCCGTAAAAGAAAATTTTGCTTTTCTCCTCTCCCCCACTTCTTAAACTTAAACCAATCAAAAACCTGAAAAAGCCATTTCTTGATTGTTAACTAAAGAAAACGTAAACATTTTTTAAATTTTGCAGACGCAAAAAAATAGTGGGGAAAGATTTTTTTTACCGCTGCCTTGTATAATTGAAACAAAATGGCTGTTAAAATTTACCGTTACCTAAAACCCAACTTCGAATTTTATCAGCTTTTAGATATTAATAAGTAGTTTATTTCATTAGAAGAAATTTTCCACCCGCACCCCCTCAGAAGTTAACCCGCTCGAAATTTGTAAAATTTGAATATCTGGCGTTTTATATTTCCAAAACTGCAAGGTTTTCCAAATTACTATGAATGCCTAAAGCTAAAAATACTACTTTGCAAGCCCTTGATTTGATAAAAATTTGCACTTTTTTAATTCATATTTAATTTTTCCAAATATCTAATAAATCAAAAAAAAATAATTTTGATATGAATGACCAACTACTATATTTTGTATTACAAGTATGTACAACAATATATGTATATGTACGCGTATTTTGTTATTGGCTATTTCTACAATTTGCTAAGAAGTTTAATTCTCAGATAAAAATGTTTTAATATGTTTTCCCATTTTATAAAAATTCACACAGCAGGTGTAATGTTTAATTCGAAAGTATTCTTAAAAAAATTTGTCCCATTTAATGTTGGTAAACAATCTTCGTTGTAACTTCCCGCTATAATTTAAAACGTACTCCTTCATTTAATTTGAAAAACTGTGCATCATTGAATTTTGAATGTAGGAATTCGTCACTATTTGGAATATATAACTATGTTAAATGTAATCAGAATTGGAAAATCATTACATACGTACGTACATAGAACATGTTAAATTGTGTTTTTTGCAAACCAATTAAAAAAATTTAGTAAATTTCCGGAAAAAAGTATTATAAAGAGAAAATTATGGGAAAAATTAATTAAATGATTGCCAATTAAAAAAATAGAAACATTAAAAAAAAAAAACGAACGCTTAATCACACAATCCCCATGATGTGTAAAAATTATGTGGTAATTTACGTGTTTGACTTTTCAAAGGTAAATGAAAAATTAAACTTGAATGAATAGGCTATCTAAAATAATCTTAATCGTTTTTAAATTGGATATATGGGGACTTTCATCCGATATATAGATTAGTAAGTGTTTTCATTCATTATAAATAGGGAAGGTATTTTTAAATTTGTGACAGTAGAATTTTATAACTTGTTTAAATTCAAGTATTTTATTTTAATTAAATAAATAAAATTTTATTAAAAATGAAAAATTTTATTGGATTATTGGTATTCGCTTTAGTTATATTAAATGCTGTAAGTGACATAGTACTTATTACAGTTTTAAATTCAAATAAGTTCTAATATAGAATCTAGAATAAATTTTGAAATATTGAAAACACGATAATTTTTTTTATTGTTATACTGAACGATGCATTGTTAAGAATTTTACGAAAATATTTTTAACACAATGTAACTTGCACAACGATAAATTGTGTGTTGTACATTATAACAGCAATGTGATTAAGGTGCATCTTTGTATACAATATGAAAATGTTATAAATCGGATTTCCGGCTAACACGGGAAAAGTTTTAATTATTTTTCAAAACATTTAATCAATTTCAATAATAACCCGTTTAATTAACCGCTGCCATAACATTGCGTATATGGTTGTATCTGACCATTTGTTGAGAATTATTGAAATAACAACTTTTGTGCATATCTAGTTGACTTTTCAAAAATTATGAAACATTGCGATTAAGTACATTGTAATCTTATTTGTAGTACATATACTCTGACTTATTTTAGATAAAAAGTTAGTTCATTTTAAAGTTTAAACTTTTTTTATTACTGGGTTCCTAGTACCCATTCTTATACCTATATATTATATATTTAACTACATACTTGAATAATATTGAACGACTTGAATTTATTGAGAAGATAAGTTTCGGTAAAGTATTTTTGGCGCTATCTCTTACATCTTGCCAGGGGGCAAAATAGATCATACTAATAATCACGAATTAAATAAAGCTATAATTATAATTAATTATAGTTTTAAAAATATTTATAACTTTAATATCTTCTTAAACTTAGTAATTAAATATAAAATTATTTTAATGAATATATTTTAAAATTCAGAATGCTAATCCACCAGAAGAATTCAAGGAAAAATTTCGAGAAGTTAATGCTAAATGTGCCGAAGAAAGCAAAGTTGATAAAAGCGAATTAGAACGTTTTAAAAGTGGTGATTTTGCCGGCGCTTCACCGGAATTCAAATGTTATTCAAGTTGCTTTGCTAGAGAAATGGGTTTTATCGCAAATGGTGAACCAAATACCGAAAAAATGAAGGAAGTTTTCTCAAAAATGCCAAAATTTAGTGAAGAAAAATTCAACAGAATTGTAAATGAATGTAAATCTGAATATACTGGTGAAGATGATTGTGAAAAGGGTTTTAATTACATGGCTTGTGAAAAGAAAATAATGTTTTCCTAAAAACTAATTAGAATTTAAAGGTAACTAACTGATTTATAAAATTATGAAAAAGATAATCGCTTAAGGAACAATAAATATTTTATGTTCAAACAAAAATTTTGCTTGCATTTTCAATAAGACATGGTTCATTTTTTCCAGAGGCTTAAAACTGTCCAAATATTCAAAATGTAAAAGCTAGACTAAAATTTTGTTGAATATTGTTTTTCTTTTGATGCCAAATACATTGTCTTTATTCCCTTGCCAGAAACAATAATAAACGCTTTATATTAATTAATTAAAATAATTGAAATTAATTAATTATTTAAATAAAAATGAAACAATTAGTTGATTAATAATTTAATCAATTAAATTTTTATTAAAAAAATTTTAATTCCTTATTTTGTAAGAATTTCTGATTTATGGATATTGAAATATCTATGACTAACTCGAGCTAAACAGCCTTCTAAATGATACTGAAAGTACAAAATATTTAAAATAAGAGCAAATCCAAGCCCCTTTTCCTACTAAATTCTGTTATGAAATGACAGTTAACTCCTATATTCACCGTATATAATTTTTTGGTTTAGAATTGTAGTTATATACTCTATAACAGGGCTACTTAAACTTTTTATATAGCGACCTCCTTCAAGCTTAGGAAATTTTAAACGACCTCCTCCTCCATATAATGAAATATATATTAACCGTAGATTTAGATGTAATATCGCACTATTTTACAATGTAAATAAAATAAGGATTAAAGAATACGTACCCATTCGTTTCACATACATATATATAATTGGAAACGTTGATGGGATATCGGTTGTAATAAAACACAATAAATAGAATGACATACAACTATATATATATTTATTCAATAGAAAAAATAAACTTTTGTAACAATTTTTTGACACCCTTTCAGTAGACCCCAGGGGGGTCGCGACCCACAGTTTAAGAAGTCCTGCTCTATAATATTTAAGCAGCACATTGTGACAGGCATATGTACTTAAAATGTATAATTTCCTTTCATAAACGAATTTGTTCCACCTGTATAGAATGAAGGAAAAATAATTTTCAATATTTTAAAAAGTTTTTATTAAAAAATGATGGAATTTTGGGATTTTGTGTAATGTTTTGCAAGATACTAGCATAAGCCAAATGCTATTCTGCAGAAAGAAATAAATTTATATAGTTGGTATTCGAACACGTTCGACTTTCAGAACTTTTTGTTTCCCATTTGGTTTTTGGATATAATAAGCCGAATTATAGTAATTACTTTATTAAATTACATAAAATGTTAAAATAAGCTGGAAAATAAGTTTCAATGAGTCGACTCACTAAATAATTGTTTAAATATGTATATCGCAAATTTACAAATTTTTTAGATTTCTGTAGGCTGTCCATCCTAAAAAATTAAATAATTAAGATCCTTCCGTGCAGCATAATGACATACTGCTAAAAATGTTATAAAAATTCTAGCACACATGCTATGAGTATACAACCTTCTAAAAGCTTTAGAGCAGATGATGTGTATTTATTACTTTAATTCCGTCCGTTATGGTAGTCTCTACGGTTTTTTTTTGTTGCTTTCACTTCTCAAAACGTTAAAAAGTGAAATTTTATAAACATATTAAGTAATTCAAACCACGAAATTTAACCGTAACGTGCTTTTTATGGATACATATGTGCAAATTTGGTTAGGTATTTAGCAGATTCTGAAAGTAAACTACAAATCAATGGTAAATCAGCCATTTTTGTTACAAACAGTATTGTATGCATCTAAGGAACTTGTGTGATGGTACGGAAATTCGCAAGTTCATTGTAGGGAGCCGAAATAAAATAAAGCCTGCATAAACTACTTTTTGCGAGATGCGGTCTGTTAGCCTGTGTATGTGCGCGTGTACTTCAGTTCATGATTAATCAATTTTCCCAATAATGGTGAAAAACTTTGTACACAACTTATTTTTTGCTACAATATTTTTTAAACACGTGTTTTTAAAAAACCATAATGATAAGGTTGTGTACTCATAGCATGTAATTTAATATGATGTATATTATTAAACATTAATTCAATACAATGTTATATAATTAAAGGCATTTTTAGATAAATGAGAATAAAAATAGAGTATTATAAAGTGTCAACTATCGTTAACCTTCAATATATAAAAATGACTTAAAAAAGTAGTTATTGCGGCAGTAACTCTTCTATACTTGAATAAATCAAATAATTATTTTGTGATTAAAATGCTTAAATTAAAAAATTATAAAATTTTTGTCACACTGTTAGTTTTGATTATCGCAAAAAACGTAAGTAAATTAGAAAAGTTAGTTTGATTTAGTTTGTTAGAGATTTTCAACTGCACAGCTTATAGAAAACTATATTTTAGTTATATGGCCTTAAGCCGATTAGACGAGCTTTAACATTATAGTTTTGAATCGGAAATATTTAAATTTTATTAAATGTACATTACATGTGAACTAATATTTTCAAAATTTGTTGTTTGTTTAGAATTTGGCAGTTCCAGAGGATATTAAGGAACAATTTTTTAATGCTATTCAAGTATGTGCTACAGAATCTGGTGTGGATTCTGATAAAATTCAGAATTTCTTGCGTGGTGAATATGAAACTGCAAGCCATGAGTTGAAATGTTTTGTTAATTGTTTTGCAAATAAAATGAGTTACATTGCTGACGGTGAACCACAAATTGAGGAGATGAAGAAATCATTCGAGAAATTACCTAATTTCGATATGAAAAAATTCGATAAGGCTACTGAGGATTGTAAATCCCAGTATACTGGCGCTGATGAATGTGAAAAAGGATTTAAATATATGACATGTCGAAGATCAATTATGGAAAACTAAATCATAATAAATGAAAAGGTTTATGCATACATATGTCAGTATTCGATAAAAGTATGAATAAAAAAAATTTAACTGAAAAATATTTAGTACTCTTTTATCTTTTTATTATAAAGCTTTTTCATTTACAAATTTTAAAAAAAAATTTTATAAATCACTTAAAAACAATTAAAATAATGTTAACTATAACAAAATTTTCTGATATCCATTCGGTATATTAGATTTTAAGCATTTTATCAAATTAAAAGCTAAATCACAGTCATCCATAGAATTAGATTTTCCACTATCGTTGGTAGAGCCAAGCCCTGTTGCGTTATTATTACATGTTGTTATAGCTTTTTTAACTGGAGTAACATCAATTCGCCTTTGAGATAAAATACTAATTACAACCTCTTCTTGAATCGTTTTATTTCTTATGAAAGAAATTCCGGTTAGAAAACAATTCAAATAACACTTATATTGTTGATTACTGTTAGCTGTTGATTTCGAAGATTTACTAGAATTTTTTAATTCATTTGAATTTGTTGAATTCAGTCCAATTTCTTTCATGCATTTATTTTTAATTTCGTTTTCAAAACTATCCAATATCCAAATTTGCATCTAAAAGTAAAACATACTGAAATAATCATAGAGTTCAAATAATATTAGCAAGGAATATTAAAGACCAATTTATTTTAGAAAATAATACAGTTATGCAATTTTGAGTTGATTCATTGAACATAATTGTTTCAAATTAATTCGGTATATTTTTTTAAATTAAATTTTAAAATAATCTTGACAAAATTCAATTAAGGCTAGGTATTATAGAAGCATATTCTAAATAAATTTAAATACTGAACCCTTCCGGACAAGAATGTGTACGTTCATCAACTTTAACAAGCCTACTTGCCTTTACTATAGATTTCTAATTGCGTTGAGTGAAGCTACGTAAGTTTCATATATTTGGGACATTAGCATATTTATAAGCACATTAACAAAAGTTCCGATTAAACGTTAAAATAAGTCCGGCTTAGTGACTTCTAAATTAAGCCATTTTATCTAGTTATATAAATTTGTTTTTATTATTTCAATTTTAAATAAGTTTCCTGTGTAATAATTTCATATTGCTAACATTATTAACATGCTTTTTTGCTAAATTATTAATCTTTGCCTAATAGTTTCTGTATTTTAAAAAATTACGATTGTTATTTTTAATCAACTTTAACACTTAAATTTTAAAAAAATTAACAATTAAATCGATTCACTTCAAATACTTAAGTAATTACAAGACGAGTCTTAAAATCAGCTATCATTGTTGATTTTATATTCAAAATATTTTTAAATCCGAAAAAGCTTACCATAGATAATTTTAGAAAAGAGAGCAGAAATATTCCAATTAAAATAAATGAGCTCATAACTTTTTAGTTATACAGCAACGTATAGCATTATAAATATTTCTAATATACTAAAAATTTAAAACTTTATCACAATTTATTTTAAAAATATTTTTATATTTTGATCTGTTCAGATTTTCATCCGATATTAATGGCTTTACATTAAAGTAAATTAAAATCTGTTTTCGTATTTTTAAAACAAATTGCTAAAACGTTTTGTTTTCTAAAGTGTTAATTATCGCGTCTGAAATGTCATTATTGGTTGAATAAAATTTTTTTTTTTTAATTAAAAACGTGTAAAATTATACATAACTTGTTTTCATTATTGTTATTCACTTATTTTTTTTTCAATTATAGTTACTTACTTACACATGTCCAATTTTAAATAGTGAATAATTGTGCGTAAAATACATTTTGTTCTTAGAAACTCATTGAATCATTGTATAGAGAAAGTTTCATCAAAAAAAAATTTTCAAGGTCAATAACACGTATATTTAAAGTTTTGAATTCAAGTGTATAATTATCGAAATTTGAAGCGTTTATAAGCTCATAACAATTGGAGTAAGTTAAATTTTGCATCACAATCAAATACTTTTGTACATATGTGAGTAAATAATTATTGACCGTAACGAAAAACGTTAATTAACATAATGTAGAACACGTTTAAAAAATAAAAAAATTTTAAATTTGTTATTGACACCGTAAATATATTAAAAATTCTATACTTCCAAAATCCTTTATTTCTAATATAAATCTACCGCATATTTAGCACTCTGCAATTTGCTTCTTTCCTCTCAACAATTGCGTTTACCTCTCAAAGTATGTAAATCAACTTAATTTCAAAGATATACATATTCCCAAAAATAAAACTTATTTTTTTCAAAGATATTACCATAGTATCAAAATTTTTGGGTAGTACTGTATTAAGTGCTTGTAATAAAATATAATGATAGATATTTAACTATACATATTTCCTATGAAAACAACTATTTTTAGAAAATGTAACAATAAGTATACATTTACATGTTATTGAGAAAAACAATGGAGCTTGTAAAATAATTTCAACAATATTTCCTCAGAAAATACTGAAACATTATTGAATCTACTTCTTGAAATTTTCTAACCCTATTAAAATGCTCTGTCGTACAAAATTTGTGGCGATAACCCGCAAAAATTTTACATTATGATTTTAAATTTTTAATTATTTAAAATCAAATTTAGCAAATATAATAAGTATTTAAAAATTTTATAAAAATTAAAAGAATTTCATTTCAGTTAATTAGACAAACATTGATTTCAATAATTACATAAAGTTCAATAATTATTTCATAATTAATGTGTAATTGCAAAACTTTTAATTAGTTTATTTTTGCAGGATGGAATTACATTAGTATACGTTAGTTCATTTATAGAAATTTGTATAATAACACAGCCGATTATAATTTAATTATTTACACAAAGTCGTATTTTTAAAATTTTAATGTAATTCAAATGTAATTATTCTCCTATACTTTTTAATATTTTTATTCAATATTTTCAGTAACTTAATAACCTTATATGACAAATAATAAAGAACTTTAATAAAAATAATTTAAATTTCCTGCCTGCCACCATTATTTTTTTTTCACTGTTTTATTATTTTAATGGCGTTGTATTTAATCAGTAAAAATTATGGGTTAATTATACCTAATTTACACAAAATTATACCACTACAAATTACATGCTATTTTTAAAGCATAAATTCAATGAAAATGCTGCTACTGTTTACAAAAAGCTGAATATGAAATTAAATAAATGTTTAAAAAAAATTAATTAATCAAATTCAATTTTAACTACAATATTTTGAAGTGCTGAAATTTGCTGTTCACACATTGTTAGTTCATTTTGATTCAGAATCTTATTCGGATGGAAATATTAAAAATTGTTCTTATTTTTACGTTCTTCATACAATTATCGGTAAATAATTTTTAATTCTCTTTATATTTAATCACATTTATATAATAATTATATAATAAATTAGTTATTCACTAAGTTATTTAGTGAGTATTTTAGTAATTACTACTTGAACATTAGTTATTCACTAATAAAAACAATGTTTGTTTTTCAGCAGCATAGCCATTTTTCATTTTATTTCTAAAACAAGCTCAAAAAAGCGCGAATTTCATACAATTTGGAAAATTTTTAATTTTGTTGAGTAGAATTGAAACAAGTGTACAATAACGTATTATATTTAAATTTTTTTCTTATATTCATTGTTGTTTTGTCGTACTTTTAAACAAAAATATTAGGAATAGAAATTTTAAAAATGTAAAACAATTAAAACGCTTCAGTTTGTAAAAATCGACCGAATGACAATTCGAGTTCAAAAATTTTTTTTTTGGAAATATCTGAAATTAGCTTTCATTTTTATAAACCATGTAGTCGAAACTTTCAAACCACTCAATAGATATTGTATGGATATATCTAACATTAACATATAATTTGACCCACAACTGTCTGTTGTTTAATGAAACTAACTTTGTGTTTTTTCAGTGCAGCCATTCCATTTAAATATTTAGAACTTTCATAAAATAATATAATTAGACTCACCTTTGCAAAATTTAGTATTAATATCTTAATGGCAGTTATCCTAGCTCGTTGTCCGAATTGGTCCAAATACAACAGCAGCCGTCGTTGGGAAAGTTTGGTGTCGGTTGCATTATTCGTTTCTGAGTTATCGTGCTATTGGACGGACTAAATCAACGGAAAATTTTACGCTGAGCAAGAATGTATACACATGTTCATATCGGATTCATTCACGATGTGTAGGATTTAAAAAATTGAAATATCGAGAAGATCTTCATATCGCGCTATTTGTTACAAATAAAATTTTAATTTTCTAACACGCAAAATTTAGTGATTGTGTTGAAACTTAACAGACACTATAGATAAATTATGAATTAATTAAATTATTCTAATTATTGATTAAATCTATAATTTAAATTTACAACTTGCATTCACAGTATTATTAATTTTTAATAACTTTAAGATTTTAAAATAATTCAAAATTTTATTTATAATTTTTAGTTGTCAAGTCAAAAAAATGCATTCGAATTGGCGGATATGTGTATTAAAGAATTAAATATCACAAATGACACCATAAAACTTTTAAGTAGCACAAATGTTAGAGATCCAACAATGGAATATAAATGTTTTCATAAATGTTTTTTTGAAAAAGCTGATTTTGTCAAGAACAGTGCTATACAAGAAGCAAATATTATTAAAATGTTAACAGAAGAATTCACTTTCACTAAAGAAAATGTTGAAAAAGCTTTAAGAGCTTGCCGTGATGTTGATATAATTTCAAATGATTGTGATTCGATATTTGATTATTTATTATGCATGAAAGAAAATTTGCCGAAACGTGGTATACAAGCGATAGAAAGCACAGTTTAAAATATTTATAGAAGCGTTTTACAAAAATTTTTTGATTTCAATTCCATGAAATGATAATCCGAATTAAAATGATAATACAAAACAACATAAAGCAATTGTAAATCTTTCTTTAACCACTTCTAAGGATGGCATCACAGAACATTGCCTTTTCGATAAGAGAGTCAGTACAAAATTTCCAAATCTTCTACAGTTACATTAAACGATTAATTTAATTACAAAATAAAAGATAGAATTTATAATTTTGTGTTAAAATAGCTTATAATAAAATATGAAGAAAATTTAAATATTCCTTGAGAAAGAGAAAGTAAAACATGAAATTTTTTTATCGTAAACCAATACTGTGCTACAAATTATCCGCAAAGAAGAAGTTCTAAAATTTATGAATTATAATATAAATATTATGAATTTGACCACTCTTGATTTTTTTGGGATCGTCGAAATATTGTAAATAATAGACGATTGTGGTCAGTTAGATTCTTCAAATAAGCAAATTCTTTGCAAAGAAGCAAATTCTTCGTAAGCAGTTTTAAAAAATTATTACCGATTTGGCGATTTATCACTCTTCTTTAGTAAGTCAAATTAGAAGTAAAAATTATATAATATAACTCCAATTGTACATTACATTGAAAATTTTTGAAAATTATATAAAAATTTTGCATTTTTGAACCATTGCTAAAAACAGAATATTAAATACTATAAGTCTTGAAACGATTTTGCCAGCTTCGACAGAATTACTAATATTCTCATCCCAATTTGGGAGAATAGTTGACTCTTAAGTTACACCACATTAAAAATCAAAAGAAATATTAAAGCATTACCTTAATAAAATACTCAGTTAATTTTTTAAACATTTAGATCTTCTATTTGTAAATTTGAATTTATACATTGCTTTAAAGGACCGCAACTATACCATTACATTCCTTATCCCTTATAATATAATATTATGGCCTTTATTTGAAATATGTGTGTATAAATGCGTATTAAATGTAAGAAAATTTCGTAGGCTTAAAAGGAAATGTAAATGTCCAGTTACCGTTGCAGGTTATAAAAAATTTTATTTCAGATTGACTACTATTGTTTATTTTAATTGTTTGTTTTATTTTTAATTTTGTTTTCATAAACTTTTTATTTTTCGGCACATAAAAATTCAATTGCAAGATGTCTCTGACGACGAAAACAAATAGTATCACCGTCATATTTATTATTTTATCATAATAAACAAAAGGAACCAAAATGAAACGCAAAATAATAAAATGAAATTCATAACAAAACCTCTTAATGAGTCCCATAGGGATCAAGGATGTGCTATGAAAGAATTAAATAAAAATATTGTAGAAATGAATTTCTGAATAAAGTATATTGTGTCTCACAGTAATACTAGACGTATCAAAAAAAGAAGAATTACGAAAAAAAAACTGTTTAAGGTTATTTTTTTTTATTGACAATGCAAGTTAAACAAAAAACCGAACATAAAACGAAAATATTAGCCCAACATATTCATAGAAAGTTTTTCCTTTAGGTTTTTACGTTATTTATGTACGCAAATATTATTTCACAGTTTTTAAACCAAGGGAATTAATTCAAAGCGTCTCTCAAGGGTTTCATATTCTCTGTATACTTTCTGTATTAAAAACAATGGTTTTCGATAGATCTACCACATCGGACTAAGAGATGAGCGGGGGATGAAGGCACAGGACATATACAGAAACAAGAAATTAAAACATAAAAGTATAATACAAGCAAACTGCAACTCATTTCCCTTCAGTTTAGTTTAAATATTTACGGTTTCTGCTTTTTTACAATTTTATTTTTGATTTTTGGTGAATTTATGAGCGTTCTTTATTTTAGAGAACACCGCGATATTTGATATGATTGCGGCCATTAGTATTTTAAACAAGAAAGAAAAAGCACAATTTAATTATTGTCTTATCTGGTGTAAATATACTAAAATAGTATTGTGTGATTTGGAATTCTGTGGTATATTAAAGAATGTGTGTTATATATATTATTTCATAATAATATATATTATGATGATATATGTATGTATATTTTCATATCATGAAATATGAATGAAACCGCACGAGAATTTTCATTAACAAAATAGCATTCTGCAATTATTTTGCACTTTAATGAAGAGGATGTAACGTGCACATAATGTAACATATGTACGATTATACTCTTGTAATATGTAGCCTCATAAATATATCGCTTTTATTTCGAATGTTTAGTTTGTTTTCTTTTATAACAGACTTCCGAACAGTTTACAAAAATTTTGTGTAAAAATTTATCCCAACAGTATGCAATTTTTATTATACTTTTAATTAGCCATACTTTTAAATATAAAAAATCATACTTTTAGGGAAAATGCATAGAAAAACAGAGTATTGAAGCTCTTGACATTATAATATCTATTATCTATTTATTAATTAAATTCGTTGCATAATATCATGTACATAATATATGTATAACTATTACAAAATGTAATATTGCTGAATAACTATAAATTTGTGTAATAAAATCACAAAGTTTAGTTTAATTTTATTCTAATTAATTATGTACTGGAATGTACGCCTCCATTTTTTTAAACTATTGTAGTATTGTTGCAAATATTATTAAAACATTAAGTATGTATGTATGTATATTTCCTACAATTTTCACAATTATTTTAATTTCTTAATAAGCCGAAACTATCATAACATACCGAAATATACAAATCTTTGGAACATACAAAAATCACAAACAGGTTTTGCAAATTTGATTTTAATAAACGAGTAATTTGTTTTAATAAATTGACTAATTTTGAATTAAGTAATTAAGCATAATAATCTGAAGTGTAATTTACATTTTTCCTAAATTAATTTTACGACATCTTTCTATTTATTGAGGCAGAAAATCGAAAGTATCATATTTGCATCGTATGTCCAAGTCGTATCAGATAAATTTATATTAACAAATATTTTAAATTAAACATAAGTATAAAATATAGACAGAATTACAAAATCGGATTTATCAATAGTGTTGTTAAAATATGAAAGCCATTTTGGGATGCACAATATTAATCTATTGTTTAATGTCCGTGAATATGGTAAGTAAAGTGTATTGTTTAAAACTTATTTGCAACTGAAAAATCTAAGTAATAATTATTAATTCTTTTTAATTAGGTTTCCATTGGAAAATATTTTGCTATTGGTTTAGTTCCTTTTCAAATATGGAGACCTTGTATGGAACAATTCAATGGAACTTTTACGGATTTACGTTTACTACAAAATAACACTTTACCTCAAAATCGTACAAATACCGTTAGTTGTGTTATAAATTGTATTTTTGAGCGACTACATTTAATACGAAATGGAGATATAAACGAGAAAAAGGCAGTTGCAATGTTATCACCGTATTTTTTATTCGGCACCTACAGCAATCTTACAGCTATTGTAAGTAGTTGCAATAATAAGACGATGAAAAATAATTGCCAAATTGCATATCATTTTTATCATTGTCTCAACAATTTTGTAAACCAAACAGCAGTAGAAATTTTTATTTTTTCAGACTTATGAAAATTTTGTAATGATTAAATTCTAGGAAAGAAGGAAGAAAACATTTTAATAAATTGTAGACACTATTATTATTTTATTGCGAGAGAATGACTAAATAAACTTAAATATTAATTGACAACAAATAAAGGATCACTAATTTTAACTTTATTCTACTTGTGTAATTTTTCTTTCCGTTTAATTTGGGCAGAAGATTTAATTGAAAAAAAACGTTCGGTGTCCGCCGTATTAGATTTCAGTTATTAATTAAATAGTACGATTATACCCCCAAAAAAATTTAAATGAAAACATAATAGATAGATATTTTCCGTTTTAAAGAATAGAATCTTTATCCTAATACAGCCTATAAAAACCACTAGACCAATAAAATTCTAAGTAAGTTCTTCTATAGTTACGTATGTGCATAATACGTACAAAATTTGGGACAACAAGGTAAAAGAAATAGATTTCAGGCGTTTGACGAGCTGTAATTAAAGTCTAGTTCAGACATCTCCAATCAACACTATTTAAATTAAACTAATTATTTTTACTTATTTTAGAAAACCTGCTTTAATTATTGCTTTAACTTTTTTTTAAATTACAAAAATAAAATTTATGTGATTCGAAAAAAATATTTTGTTAAAATAATTTGAGTGGTGTGTTTTTCAATTTGATGTTTATTAAACCTAATCGGTTATCATTAGCAATTTAGTATTACCAAATATTCATTGGCTTATTGTAGTGGAAAAGAATCCAGCCATAGTTTAAACACTTTTCTATTTTAAATATTTTAGTTTTCTTAATAAACTAAGTAACACTTTAGAAAATTAATGAATAGGGTGCTATAAACCGCGTTAGAATCTTAAAAGGTCCAAATGAAATGAAAAAAAAATTAAAGCAAAATAAAACAAATATTATTTATCAATTCCTTTCAACAACAATTTTTATTTTATTATTTTATTAATAGCAATTCATTTATTATAATTTAAATAAAAAAAAATATAAAATAATTTATATTATTTTACTCTTTTAACATTTTTATAATTTATTTATATAAATCTTAGTAAGGACTTCTTAAATTTCAATTTATATTCAAGTATATCATCGCCATATGTCAATTTTCTCATCCCAAATCTATACATTATGTTATATGTGTGTACATACATTATATATGTACACATAATACATAATATCCTTCAATAATAATGGGGCATGTCCTCTAATAAAAAATTATAAACTCCAAAAAAAAAAGAAATATAAAAACCCCTCTAACCAAAATAGAAAATATTTCCTTTAAAGCACACACATGTATAAAAATAATGTAAATAATAATAACAACAACAACAAAAATGAAGAGAATAACAATAAGAGAGGCGATGGAAGAAGCAATACATCTCATTATTTCGATAATCCTTTTTAACTGCCTAAAATGAATTTAAAATAGCAGAAAAAAACAAACAACCAAATCTAAAATAATAAAATACTAAAAATCCTTTATCCTTAATCAATTTTATATCACAAAAAAATAGAAAATAGAAAAAATAAATAAATAGTTAAAGTATAATAACATCCCTGATAGAATAAAGAAAGGAAAAATTCTCTTTTTGTAAACTAAACTGAGTTTCGATAGCTGGTTTAAGAGTGTGACGAAAATAATCTCATTGATTGTCTTTTTCCGATTTCAAAATAATATTATGCACATACAAGCATACACATACATAAAAATAAATTATTTTGAACTTTAAAAAAGAAAAAAATTCTCTCATTTCATTTTTTATTATCCTTCCACAAATGATATACAGTATAGTAGCGCAGTTGATACTCATATGAATGTTTGTGTACAGTACTGATTTTCAATACCATAAATACTGATTTTTCTGTCTTCGATATTATTATTATTATTGTTCCGTTCACTTTTTCTTCTTATTTTTTCAAAACAGAAACCTCTGCATGTGGGCTTCGCATCTTTTCCAAATTTATTTCGGTTTTTTTTCTTCTATAGTTATGGTTTTTTTTATAC